TCATTATGCTTTGCAACAATAAGGTTGTGAAGGTCTTGAGAGAGCTCTTTACTTTTACCCATCATCAGATGGTTCTTGTGTGATACCTGGCCATCATTATAATATCATAATATCATGGATGTGTTTCAGTCAGGATTCAAAACTCTTCATAGCACTGAAACAGCCCTGCTGAGTGTTTATAATGATATTCTTTTGACATATGACTCTGGTGATCATGTTATTCTTGTTTTACTGGACTTAACRGCTGCATTTGATACAGTAGACCACAGCATTTTGTTGATGCGTCTCCAGCACCAGGTAGGCATCAGTGGCACTGCCCTAAACTGGTTAAGGTCCTATCTGGCAAACAGAACATTTTCAGTAAAAATTGCAGGATTTGAATCCTTTTCTGCTCCTCTGTCATGTGGGGTTCCCCAGGGTTCAATTTTGGGGCCTTTGCTTTTTTCATTGTACATCCTGGCTTTGGCTTCAATTGTTAGAAAACATGGCATCTCCTTCCATTGCTACGCTGACGACTGCCAAATCTATGTACCTCTAAGGCAAGTTGAGGCTTGGTCCATTAAATCTCTTTTAGCATGTCTCGATGATCTTAAAGCCTGGATGGCCCTAAATTTCTTGCATTTTAATGAAAAAAAGACCGAGATACTTGTTTTTGGACCTAGTGGAGCATGCCCAAGTCCTCCAGTGGATTTAGACCCCTTGGCAATGTATGTCAAGCCCACAGCTACAAACCTTGGCTTTAGGATGGACAGTGATTTTAAACTTGACAGTCAAATAAGGGCTACAGTWAAGTCTAGTTTTTATCACCTGAGAAAAATAGCAAAGATAAAATCTACTGTATTCTTTCAAGGCAACAGTTTGAAACAGTGGTCCATGCTTTTATTTCATCTCGACTGGATTACTGTAACTCACTTTATTTTGGAGTAAACCAGTCATCCCTCGCACGTCTGCAGCTGGTACAGAACGCTGCTGCCCGTCTTTTAACAGGAACACGTAGAAGAGAGCACATCACCCCGGTCCTGGCTTCCCTCCACTGGCTGCCTGTCTGTTTTAGAGTCCATTTTAAAATCCTTCTGTTTGTTTTTAAGGCTTTAAACAACCTCGCCCCATCTTATTTAACAGAGCTTCTTCACCGTTTCACTCCTCCTCGGTCACTCAGGTCTGCTGACCAGCTGCTCCTGGTCATTCCCAGTTGTAAATGGAAGCTCAGAGGAGATAGGGCTTTCTCTGTTAGTGCCCCTAAACTGTGGAACTCCTTGCCCTTACAGGTCCGACAGGCCCCTTCACTGTCCATTTTAAGACTTGTTAAAAAACTTACTTTTTCTCACTGGTCTTCAACCCAACTGAGATTTGATTTTACTCAACTTTTACTGTATTGGTGCTGATTTTACTTATTTAACTGTGTGATTTTATTGTGTTTTTGTATTCAGTTTTTATTTTATGTGTTCAGCACTTTGTTTCAGCAGTGGCTGATGTTATAGCGCTTTATAAATAAAGTTTGATTGATTGATTGATTGATTGATTGATCATTTGGGACTGAACCAGATGATATGAATTTGCACTGACAAGGGGCAGGGTTGTTTTCTAATTACTGAGAGAGTTCAGCTGGTGTCTTGGCTTTCCATGCCTTTTTACACCTCCCTTTCTTCATGTGTTCAATACTTTTTCCCTGTGCCATTCCACATTATTACAAATAACTTCATTTCTGGACATTTATGGTTTGATTTCTTTGTATGTATGGATCACTTGGGTTGTTACCAACATCTGGTGAAAATTTCATGTCATTAGTACCTCTGGTAATATATTTAGTGAGAATAATGTTGACGTGTTCAATACTTATTTTACTCGCTGTATATTCAATTCTACAACTACAACTTTTACAGTCACTCTAGTTCAAAGTATTTAGCTAAAATCTGCTGTAGCTAAGCGTAATTTGATCAAAGCTTTGGTATGCAAGGTTGTGAGAAATACTGATTACGATTTATAAAATAAAAAATATAAAAACTTACATCCTGATTGGACATTTCCCAGTAGGGCCTTTCGCCATACGACATCACTTCCCACATGACGATGCCGTAGCTCCACACGTCGCTCACTGAGGAAAACTTTCCGTAAGCGATAGCCTCTGGTGCTGTCCAGCGTATTGGTATCTTTCCTCCCTGCCACAAGGAAGTAAAAGAAAATAAGCTTCATGTTTGTTTGAGCACAAAGTCCCGTTCCATCTGCTGCACCAATACTTACGGTAGCGGTGTAAGCCGAATCAGAATCGTCCTCCAGAATTCGGGACATGCCAAAATCAGACACCTTACACACCAAGTTCTCATCCACTAAAATGTTACGAGCAGCCAGGTCTCGGTGAACGTAACCCATATCTGAAAGGTACGACATGCCCACCACGATGCCGCGCAGCATGCCGACCAGCTGCAGCACCGTGAACTGACCGTCGCGGGTCTGGAGATGTTGAAAGACAGAGATGATGATGTGAAGAGGTCATGGAAGAAGTTAGATGTTTACAGCTGTATCCGTACCCGGAGGAACGAGTCGAGCGCTCCATTTTCCATGTACTCCACTACGATCATCACTGGCCTGCCTGAAGAAATAGAAAATAATTGGTTATTTAGGTGATGGTGGACAAACACAAACACAACGGACACAAATTATCTACAACATAATGAGATAAAACCCATAAAAAACAAAAATCTAAGGACATCCAGTCCATCTTCAAATTTCTCATTTTTACTCTCTGGTATTTTTATAAATGTTTACATTGTGTCTTGTCTATTTAATTTATTGTTTTTATTTCAATATGTTTTTATCAGTTGTTTTATGATGGCTGTACAGCACTTTGGTGCAGTTGGTTGCTGTTTTTTTTTAAAGTGCTCTATAAATAAAGTTGACATTGCCATTGACATCCTTCAGAGACAACTGCAGAGCTTACTCTTAGTGACCACTCCTTCCAATCTGATGATGTTTGAGTTGTTGAACTGTCCGATGATCGAGGCCTCACGCAAGAACTCACGCCTCTGCTGGTCCATGTAGCCACCTTTAAGAGTCTTTATCGCCACAGCGATGTCCTTCCTTCCAGGAATACGTAAGCGACCGCCGCAGACTTCTCCAAATTCACCTGAAAAGCCACATTAAAACAAAAGAGTGAATGTCTTGTATAATATACACTTTACTCACCGTCCATCTGTTGTAAATTCAGCTTATAAAATGTACACTTTTTTTGTTATTAGTAAAGTAGAAACGCATTTTTAAACTCAAAATTGCAGTCTGAAAATAATGTAATTGCATATTATCTCCACTAGATGGGGATGTTGCAACAGAAACCCAACAAACAAAGACTTTGGACCCAATTATGGGTCATGAAGCACCTTGGATAATTTCCAGAAATCAATTTAAAGGGTAATAAATAATTGCTGATGTAATATTTTCCCTATAATTATTACAAAACACAAAATAAGTATAAATAAGTATTTATATTTGTGTACAAGCTGTTTAGATTGTCAAAAAGCCTGTGTTTTTAGGGTTAGTAACGAAGTTCATGTACTCAGACCAGTAATATTTGGGGTCACAAGTTTTTGCCATGGATATTTTGTGGGTCAGAAGACAAAAAGTTTGGGAACCACTGCTTTATACCATTTAAGCTACAGAGCTGTAGATTTATTTGAAATCAGCTGCAAATGGAGGCAATAAAAATCTAAAATCTAGCATTTAGCTCAACATAAAACCTTTATAATACGTGTGCAACAGTTATCACTGAGGTAATGACTGACGCCACTTTATTGGAAACATAACCTATTAAGCGTACGCCTTTGACTCTGAGTAACTATTAGGATAAAGACTTTACCTGCACCGATCACCCTGTCGATGCAGATGTATGACGGGTCGATCTCTTTAGCAAATTCCTCCACAGCCTGAGTGGGGTCTTCATACGTGTCTGGGTCCACGTAGGTCTTTATCCCGGAGAACGGGACTGAAAGACAAGAGACGAACCGCAGCTGTCAGATGTTTAATGGCTTCATTAGGGTTTTGAAAATCTTCAGGTAAAATACATTAGTGTGTGTTTCTGTTCCCCCACCTTCTTGTTTCATTTCTGTATGACTCAATTATGAAACATTTAGATTTTCACATCTTTTACTGGTGGATTTATTTCATCCTATCACCTACTTATGTTACTTTTTATATGGCGTAATGATATGTCATTAAAAACTGCAGGAGCCACTCTTCAGMAAGTTCTTCACACTTTGTGTTCATCTGACGAGTCAGCACTTCTCAGGGAGACGTGACACTAAAACCTTAACTTGAAATCTCAGCTTTAAAGTCGTTCAAATTTCTTTTAAAATGCTTTTCATGAACTGTTTGTTTTGTAAACTGCCTTTTTATTTTAATCTCTTTTTACTTTAGCTGTTAATTTGAGACTGTGCAGTTGATTAAGTCAGATTTGGTTTAAAGCATTTAACTGTATTTGACAAATTTGTAAACGCCAAATGTTTTTTTATTTGATTTTAACTTGTGTAGAAAAGATCTACTGTCCTGATGCATCTCAGTAATCCAGGTAAAAAATCAAAAAGAAAAAAATTGTGTAGGTCTTCTGGACGGGTTCTCCTCTAATGACACGTTTCGTCTCTCCTCCAAGAGACTTCTTCAGTCTGAGAGTTTCAGGCAAAATTCAGGCTTTTAAGCCCTGCCTCCATGTGACTGATACTCACATCACATGGCTATCGTTGACACCTAATTAACACCTATTGTTAACAGGGGGTGGAGGGATACTGGCAATCGCAGCYCTGTAGGAGGGGGACAYCTGAAAACGGAGGCCTCCACCTCTGTTTAATGATGGACGGTCTTTCTTRACAAAAATGMCTTCTTTTACTCCTCTCTCAAACCAACGTTRCTCTCTATCAAGAATGAGAACATCCTCATCTCTGAAAGAGTGACCGCTGGCCTGTAAATGAGTGAAAACTGCAGAGTTCTGGCCTTTAGACGTAGCTCGTCTGTGTTGGGACATTCTTTTGAACAGTGGCTGCTTTGTTTCCCCGATGTATAACTGGTCGCAGTCCTCCTGGAACTTAACAGCATATACAATATTGCTCTGTTTGTGCCGGGGCACCGGATCTTTGGGGTGAACCAGCCTTTGCCGTAATGTGTTTTGGGGTTTGAAAGCCACTGGGACATCATGTTTAGAAAATAAACGTCTCAGTTTCTCCGAAACACTTGCAACATACGGAATAACCACTGGTTTGGGTCTGGGTTTGGGGTCTTCATTTTCACCTGAAGGTTGCATGGAATCCTGTCTGTGTTTCCTGTCTGCTTTCAGGAAAGCCCAGTCAGGATAACCACACTGCTCCAGGGCCTGTCGTGTGTGTGATTTCTCTTTCTCCCTGGCTCCTGGGTTTGTAGGGACACTGTCTGCTCTGTGGTACAGAGTCCTGATCACTCCTAACTTGTGTTCCAGTGGGTGGTGGGAGTCAAAACGCAAATATTGGTCTGTGTGGGTGGGCTTACGATACACGCCAGTTTCCAACCGTCCTCCATCCGAAACCGAGACATCGCAATCCAGGAACGCCAACCTGCCAAAAAGGTCTAATGCTTGCTTTATGAAGCGTGCTGATCTTCATTCGAATTTCAGCATTATTTCCTGACATGAGCGCTGTTTAACTCTAAAGGTCAGAGTTAGTTCACTTGGTTTTATTATATTGTCTGTTTTCTGTCTGTCAGGAGAAGGAAAAACTTCCTGAAAGGAGAAAGTAAGATGTGAGGAGGAGGAGGCCCACAGCTGGATGAAAAGCTCCAGTCGGCAGCAGGAACTCTGTAAGCTCCTGTTTGTCTGAGGCAGAGGATGCTGCCTCGTGACGACGGCCCGGTGCAGATAATAAGTGGAAGCACACCTCCAGCAGACGAGCTTGGGACTAAGTGTACTTTATAGCTGTGTCAGCTCGCACTGTAGAAGGTTGAAAACTTTGTTGGAGGAAGATTTGAGATCGGAGACCACATTCCGCTCAGTCTCCAGGGCTCCTGAGCTCAGGCTTGAAGAAGAAAACTTTTTCTAGCAGTTTGTTGAAGCTGCAGGTATTCTCCCCTCGTTAGTTTTAGTGTTTTATTTTAAAACGTTGTTCAATGAGGAATTTCATTCAGATATTTGATCTTCTTAGCCAAAATAACTTTAAGTTAAAAGTCAATGATTAGAATTTATATTATGATATTTAAATACATAATTAAGATATTTTTTGACTTGGTTATTGAGGGAACAAAAAGCTTAATTTACCACAAAAACAACTCACAAACAGTGAAGATGCAACAGCCCAGCAGGGCTGTGAGGATGAATTTCACATGTTCAGACATTTTTCTCTACAATCCTTCTTGATTTCCTTGAATCAATCCCAAATCCTCGAATCAGACCTGGACCGGGTGGACCGGCTCTCTCAGGAGCCCCACTCAGGTCCCCTGCAGGTCTCAGARTGAAGCTAAAAGATACAAATTGTTGCTGTTGGACACAGAGCAGCCTTTTGTTCCCTACGAAGGACACATCTTCCCGATGAGAGGATCGATAACTCACCGCTTTCTGTAATTGTAGCCCTGTAATTTGGTGAACACTGTAATTCTGAACTGGAAGAGCGTGTTTTGTCAAAAATCGAATAAAGGGCGTACAGTTAACTGCGCTTTCTTTTTCTGGCCTTTCTTTTGTTTCATTTTATAAAGGCTGAAAGGATCAGGACAGAAATACTATGAAGCTGATGTGTCAGCGCTACGAACAATTGGATTTGTAAACTTTTAAAGATAATCAATTCAGCACACAATTATGAGGCAAATTAATAAATACAATGAAAAAAATTACAAAATGAAAATGTATTTTTTTCTATAAACTTGGTCAACTCAGAAGCATTAGTGATGGAAAATTTGGACCAAATACAAATTAAGTTTTGCTCATTTTATGCGTTTTCAACATTTGAAATGAAAAACGGAGGAAGTTTTCTGCGATGAACAAAAGTCTTGAAGCTCTTTTACAAATTGAAAGATTTTGCTCAGTGAGCATGAGGGTTAAACCGGTTTGAACCTGTTTTAGTTGATGTTTTCTTGTATGTTTCTAAACCTTTAGAAATTTTTTTGAATGATTTTAAGCTCTCCTTTAAAGGGGCAATATCATGTAAAATCAACTTTTCTGAGTTTTATATCATGTTATAATGTTATACTCTCATAAAAAACATGCCRAAAGCCTTGCTTTAACTCATTCATGCATGTTTGAGAAATCCTGCAGCGTTTTTAGGAAGCCATGCTGAGGAGCAAAACGACAGGTGGGGACCAGAAACACCTTTGCGGGCCAGAAACGCCCCTGGGACGTGTCTTTAAGCCAAACTTCCTCATGGCAGAGCGCCCCCCCCCCCCCCCACACACACACACACACA